GTCGAATAATTGTGGAGTACTGGGCGTACTTTTGATCGCCTGGTTGGAGCTATTTTGGGCTTATGGGCCTTCGTCCTCTACACAATATTCCAGCCCATTTATTTTGGGCTTTGCCATTTTTTTATTCTTATTATTACCCTCTAATAGGGTTTATACAGATGTTTCCGAAAGATAAGAAAAATAAATTACATCATACATCTGTCAAAAAGTAAATCACATCATTCTGGTGGGGTGTTTATTCCTTTCTTTTGCTTTCTTCTTTTCTCTTTTTTGCTACATGGTCCACGAGTCCATCCCCAAGGCTCTATTTTTAGTGAAAAAGAATTCTTGTGAATCATGATTGATACCACCTCCAACCATATCCCCAGAGGTGTAGGTTGGGCCAAACGCTTTTCATTTTCCATGTCCCTGATAAAGTAGTCCATCATTGCCATGATAGCCACGACTATTTGCTTTTATTATTGCTTTCCCGATCTGCCAAAATATTGTTGAGTATTCTGAACTTATCACATGGTTGCTGGGTAAAGCTTCGAATGACAGTTCAAAGTAACAGAGCAGTAAGCTCGTGGATCAATGCTTAACCCCTAATGTAGTCAAATGCCGGAATCAGAGACGAAGTTCCTAACAGAGGCGAGGGAGCTGAGATCGAGCGCCATGACGGGATCTGGGTGCGGGAGAAAACTCGAGTACGATATAACTGCTTTCCTCATCCCAACATACCGAACTGCCTTTGCAAACACAATAACTTTCAACACACCCCTGAACTGCCTTTACAAGAATAACGAGGTTACTCTGGCCTTGAAAATGTTATGGGGTAGTAAAGGATGGGCGTATTAAGGATGCTTTCAAAATTGCTGAGAACTTCGTGTATCAGGAGCTTCGAGAAGAACTACTGGAGGAGGAAGGGGCAGACGGGGGGGAAGAACTGCTGGAGCTTCGAGACGTCAACAACCAGGTCAACGTACCACCGCCCCATGTAGCGCTGCAGATCCAGGCACTATTAAGGAGAAGCCATGGCTCCGACGAGCAGCTGGGAGAAGGATTTGCAATCTTCGCCGCCATCGGAGAAGAGGTTGGAGACTTGAAATTCAAATCCGTATAACTTCATGTCCTTCTCATCTGCCAATTCCTCAGGAAGCTTCGATGTCGCCAACAATCTCTTCTCTTGGTAGCCGTGGCCATGGTCGTGGTGGTGCATATGGTTGCAGCCATGGTGGTGAGTGTGAGGCTCGTGAGCGGCAGATGCAGAGAACCCAGAAACAAAACTCAGATCCGAACAGTGCCTAACAACCAAAGCAACAGCAACCAAGACGAAACCCTGCTCAATTATCCTTTCGCCATCCTTCTTGTTCTCCGAGAACCAAGATTTAACTTCATAGGTGAAAAAAAATCCAGGGATTTGGTTAACTGGGTAGGAGGAGGAACTTGTTTCCTGAAACGGGTCGGGTTTACTTTTGGTTGGTTGAAGCTGTATGGAGCAGATGAAGTTGGTGCGAATGGTTGGGAGCCAATGAGAAAAAGTTGAATTTTGGTTGGTTAATTGAGCATGAAAGTTGAATTAATGCTGGAAGTAGATGTGTGGGAGGCGGAGGCAGATAATATGATATAAGATCTAGATCATAAACTTGCTTAAGAAACTGTGGTTGAGTTTCGGAGTTTTCATTTTTGCAATTTTTAGATATAGGTTTTGCAGTGACTTTGGTTCCTGGGTTTCTGTGATTTTGCAGATTCACGGTGAAGGTGAAAAAAATGAAAGAGAACCGACACAACTTTTCGTATTGTTTCCCAACTTTTCGTATCGTTTCCCATAAACGGCACCAAATGTTGATGCACAAAACCGGAGGTCTTGGAACAACGTAAATCCAACCGTGAATCTGCAAGAAAAGTAAAGAACATAAGATGTATCGTGGTTGACCCCAAGGTTTGGGCTACGTCCACCCTGATATTGTATTTCTGAGGGAGAGAGAGCTCTGAGAGTGAGAGCTTTGAGAGGGGTGAGAGGGCCTAGGAATTGGCCTCTCCCAATTGTGAGGGTGAGGAGTCCTTTTATGGAATAAGGGCTCTTCACTTATTACATATTTGCCCCTTCCTTTATTACATAATTACATTTAAGTCCCTCGAGTATTTGTACGAGATCTAAATACGGAGGCCCTAAGTATGACATAAACATAGTTGTTTTATGTTCTTATGTAAAAATATTGGTTTTGTTCTAAAAGAATCTTTGAATATGTTGTACTTCTTGTTATGTTTTCTGGATTGACTCATTGGCTTTTTGTCTACCCTTTTATGGAGCAGATGTGACTCATTAACTTCAAGAAATAAATCATCCAAATTAGAGGAAAACCAATTAAACCAATAAAATTAACAAATTTTAGATAACATGGATAATTAGGAAGAACAAATTCTCTGAAATTCAAAAAACCCACATACAATTAGATCAGATCCCAAAAGAAAAAATTCAACATACAGCTCGCTCTATTGATTTACAGGTAAGCCACGAATAAAGCAAACCCTAGAATCGATAACCATTTTAGAAAACAAAGAAGTTAGGAGAAGAATACCTCTGTTGTGCGAAAAGGCGAAACTTGTAGGAGGATTCGACGGTGGAGCACAATCTAAAAAAAAAAAAAAAATCTTAACTTTGGAATCGAATCGAGAGCCCTAGCTAGCACACATCTCGTATTTGTAAAGGTCAGGTGGGCCCAAGTTGGGCCGGGCTGAAATAAAATTACTTTGACCCAAAGTTTAGAAGTTTGGGCTTATTGGAAGAGAGAGAGGGTGCGTGACGAAGAATGAGAGGGCTTAGAATATATTACTTGCTTGGCAAGTGATGCAATTATTTCGAGAGATATTACTTGCTCAGCAAGTAATGCAACTACATATAAGATGGAACGTCTACATTTCACAGGTACCCTTACCTGGCATTCACAAATCCGGCTGGATTTCTATCATGTCTACCAAAAACACTAACACAGATGACCAAAACGACGACAACGTTGAAGGGTCTGCCGCGGCATCACGTACCCAAAGATGTTATCCACCAAATCCTCCAACTCATCCACACTATCCCTACGGCTCGCATGAGCTTTCTTTCCAAGCAGTGGGAAGGCCTCAGGTCTTCAGGTTGTGTATTAGATTTCGTGGAGGACAACCTTGATGACGAGTACAACATTTGTGAATTTTCCGAGATCCTTTTGTTCCTCAAGACCTTGAATGGAATAAAGAGCCACCTTCCATCAAGGAGATTGAGTCTTGTGCAGAGCCGGCCCTGAGGGTAGCCGGAGTAGGCGCCCGCCTAGGGCCCTGTAACATCCCACATCGCCCAGGGGAGTGGATCATCTATGCCTTATATGTATATTCCCATCTCTACTTAGCACGAGGCCTTTTAGGAGCTCACTGGCTTCAGATTTCATTGGAACTCCGAAGTTAAGTGAGATCGCACGAGAGCAATCTTATGATGGGTGACCCATTGGGAAGTTCTCATGTGAGTTCCCAGAAACAAAACTGTGATGGCGTGGTCGGGGCCCAAAGCGGACAATATCGTGGTACGGTGGAGTCGAGCCCGAGATGTGGTGGCGGCCCGAGCCGGGATGTGACAGGTCCCCACTTCGGAAGAGCCCCCAATTTTTAGGCGGAGCCAGGTAGGTTTGGATGGAGATGGGCGAGAGCTATGCGGGCTTATAAACGTCAGAATTTGAAAATCTTTTGCTGCAGGGTCGGCCTCGTGCGGGGAAGAAGACAACCCTATTCCCAACATCATTTTAATTGTACGGTTTTACTTAAGATGGTCCCACCATCTTTTTATAGTTGCATGTCTTCTCCCTTTTAAATAGTCCCACCATCTTATTTTTACTTTTCTCTTAAATATCACCTTTATGTTTATCCATTCATTCATTTATTGATGTAATAAGAAACATTGTAATAATAGAAAAATGATTGAAATTTGGCATACTGGGTAGAGACTTCTCTTTCAGTTTGAATTGGTTGAAAAATTAGATTATGTAAACTTAATAAGTGCATTTGCATCTAAAACGCGAGATGGGTAACATTTGAGTAATTTTTGTATATCTTTCCTTTTTTTTATATTAAATTTTAATGATATTTGATGTAGAAATAGACTTTTTCATGTATTTAGTGATTTTTTTACACATGTCAATGTACAAAGGATCGGGAGTTAGAGAACTCTAGGGCCCCACTTCGAAGGCTCGCCTAAGTCCCCTAAATTCTCAGGGCTAGCCCTTGTTTGTGGTACAAACTGCCTCGAGTTTGCTCGATGCGACCAGCATTCTGGTGAAACTGAAGACTCAAGCAGTCAATGAGCAGAGGCAATTGGTTCTGAGCAGGAAACTTCAGCTTCAAACGGGATCTGGGGACAGTCTATCGCAGTAAACATTGATATGCATAAGAACAATAATCCTATAGCTGAAAATCAATCGTAAATTAGTCATAGTACCGAAGATCTACAGAGAAGCATAAGTAATAAGCGTTCCAATGATTTATTAAGTTGAATTAACCATCTAAAACATCATTAAATACAAGAAAAGCTTAATTAAATTTCCGCGTTCCTGTTTCTGCATGCATAGCTAAAGCAAAGCTACAAATTCGATTAGCTCTTTCATGCTCCAACTGAAGGGGCAATACACGTTCAGTTGATTTTGCAACCCATCTTGAACTCCGTTGTCAGTCATCTGATGTTACAATCATTCTCAAGAATGAAGATCAGACCATCTAAAAGGAGCTTTTGTGGTGTTTCGTTTTCCCATTTCAGATCGTCAAGCATTACAGCTATAAGCAATTCTACACACATCTGTGATCCAACAGTCCTGGGGAGCTTCTGCTAGGTTCAATATTCTACCTTCGAATCAACCGGCATTTAAATTTGATCATTCGGTTGGAGCAACCTTTGATCTCCAAGTATGGTACTTACACCGTGCAGTTTCATCATGCAGTGATACTTTGGAGGTGCAATGGCACCTGCCTGTGTGCATAGTTCTACTACTTCCAGAGCATGCCCATAAAATCCCCTCCCTTCATTCAAAAGTACTTGAGGATCCTGAGGACGCCGCCGCCACAGTCTTTGGAGGTACAAGATCATCTACATTTGCCTTCCTCCAAAAATGGGTTCCCTGCCAACTCTCATATTTAAAAATTCCACAAAGCCTAGCCTTATGCCCAGATGGCCCAACATGAACTTCTGAACAATGTTTACAGACTTTCGCTGGATAAACCATCAGCAACTTCTCCACGCCATTTCTAAGTATTTCCCATGCCCTCAAAGTTCCACTGGCAACCAAAATCAGTTCATCAGATGACAAAGACTCAGCTCCATCAACGCCAACACAATCACTTTCAGAGTTCCAATTTAAATAATTTCCATCATTTGCCCCTGCTTGCCAGCATAGCTCGACAACTGCATGAACACGTTCAAAGTCAAACCTCTGATGGTGTTTTATAACATTCTGGAACATGTGCTTGAGGTGAAATGCCTCTACTGGAACAAGCACATCTTTCAAACCACCAACTATCCATTCATGAACTCGATTTTTGCCACGACGTTTGAAGCCACAACAAGTCTGAATTAAGTGGCCTTTCGTTGAGTCACATAAATTGCTCCTAAAAATAACATTTAGGGAGGAGTCAGGACCATTCAGATAAAGTGGTCTAATTGTTCCAAAACAAGAAATACAGAACATAAACTATGGAGCTTCAAAGTCGGTATTATTCCAGGACATGACATGTCAGTAACTATGCAATGGAACAATAAAGTGCCAAGTAGTTCAAAGCTTAAAAAGAATTTATTTTATAAGTAAACAAATACTTGGCAGATGAGGAATTTACTTGCAGGCCAAAACTGGTACCATTTTGAGGAGAGTAGAGACACCTTGCATAACGAGCCTCCGGGAATTAAAGACCTCCTGGGCAACTGGTACCATGGCCGGCACTAGGTAATCTTTAGCTCGGTTTTGGATTCTCTTTTGAATCATAGGCTTTAGCTTCCTTAAGTCCATCTTCGAGCTGTAATACCTTGCAAAGTTGTCCATAATTTTGCCATTGAAATTGGATCCTTCGCACAATTTCTTCCTCAGTGCCATAATTTCTTTTTGGTGCCAAAATTTTTACACAAAAGGGTAGACAATTGGTTGTTAGGTACAAAGATTAATTAAGTAAGCTACATTTATATGTACATTTATTAGACATTGAGAAAACCTTATAGTTAAGTTTACAAAATATTTTAAGGTCGATGGTTTTAACACAAAAATGTGTCTACAGAACATTAGCTTTTGTACTTATGTGGACTCACATGAACGACAACTAGCGTATCCAATCACTATACACCTATTTAACAAATGAAATTGAAAGACCTGAACGAAGGTCACTAATTGTACTTAGTCACATGATACAATTGGTATATACTGTGCGTATCATAAAATTCTACAGGTAAAACAAACAGTTTTTTGTTGTTATCCTAGTTAAAATAGCTATGTTATTTCATTATCAAATAAGATTAAGAAGTGTGATTATGATTAGTAAAATGACTAACTAAAGAATTTCCAAGAAAGCATCAAAAGGAACTTAAATTTATCAAGTTATGATTTAAGCAAAGCAAAAAAAGTAGATGAGATTAACTTACCTATGTGTGGTATATGCAGGATGATCAAACTTCTTTTCAGCTTTGGAAAGAATGGATGATGAGGATGTAAAAAGCGGAAAATCACATTGAAAATGTTGCAACTGTGACACCAGGGGAAGGTAGGAATGTTTATAATTTAAACTGATAATCAGATTTATCTAGTCACACTAAACTAAGAATTTGGAACTTTTTGTTTGTTGTACGTTAATAAAACGTGTACCATAATTAGTCTAATTACCTACTATTTTTTAACATGTGCAGTTTGAGCCCAACCCTAAAACCTGGTAAATGTAAAATAGAAATCAAATTTGTACGACATTTAACATTTTATTAATAAGTGAGCAACATAGTGCAGACAAAAAATGTAAATCACTCGAAAACAGGTGTGCCACCACAATTAAATCTGAAAACAATTTAATGAAATTGAAAGCGAGCATTTTATAAATATTTACACATGATTTTACAAAACTAAAAACTTTCCTGTAAATTTTGTAATACATCTTTAAAGACAATATTTAGAGTACAGTTTTTAGCATCACTTTCTCCATTTTCTATCAAAAAATTTAAACTGTCGAGAGTTACTCTAGACAATGCAACATATAACTGACCATGTGTTAAAACAGGTTCTGAAATATATAAACCAACTTGTTTCAAAGATTGACCTTGGCTTTTATTAATTGTCATTGCATAACATGGTCTAACTGGAAATTGGCGTCTTTTAAAAATGAATGGCCATTTGCTTTTTGTTGATGTAAAAGTAATTCTTGGTATGAAAACTTTGTGACCAATATTGCCTCCAGCAAGAATCTTAGCTTCAATAATTCTATTAAACAATTGAGCAACTACTAATCTAGTTCCATTACATAAACCTAAAGATTGATTTAAATTTCGTAGCAACATAATGGGCATTCGTATTTTCAAAACCAGATTATGTGCAAGTAAACCATTGAAGTCAAGTTTGTTCAAAAATTCAGTGGGATACATTATTTCAAGATTTTCAACTTTTGTATTCGAAGAGCACAAAGAATCATAACTCAAAAATGTGTGTTTCTCTACAGGTAATAAATCGATGATATAATTATTTATATCTGTAACAACTGTATTTCTAGGTGTTATAATAGCTTGCTCTCTTAAATGTACAAAACCGTCAAAACAATTTTCAAAATTGGGATAAGTTGCACAAAAAATTGAATGTATGTGTTGTAGGCATAAATTACTGAACAATTATGGAGGCCATAGAGAGAGGGAAGGTGCGGCATAGAGAGACGAAGAGAGAGATATGTAATTGTGGGTGTGTGTTATTCCAACCCATTGTGCCTTTATTTATAGTAGTAGGAAATGTTAATTCTTACCCTTTAGGATTACAACATTTAATAGGTAATCTACTTCTAATAGAAATATAAGATACATTCTCATATCTACTAGGATTTACACAATCACATTCTTATTCTAATAGGACTGCAACACTCTCCCTTGAGTGTGTAAATACTCAAGTAAATGGTGCATCAGGTCTTCAATGATGAAGTAAATACAGTTGTTGAAGTCGTCAGCACAATGAGCGAATGCGAGTCTCATATCAATGGAAGAATGCATAAAAAAATAAAACTCACAAATCCTCGCTATGGTAAAACCTAAGGTGGGGAAAAACCCATAGTCTAAGGAGAAACGTGAGAAGTTGCATTAAGTCAAAACTATACATCTTTTGGACGCAAGAAGAAGAACTCACAAGGGTATGATCAACCTAGGATAGGTGCCTCGTTAAAACCTAGTTAGGTAGCAAAAACCCAATGGGAAAAATACTCGTAATCGTAGGGAAAAATAGTACATCAAGATCAAGTAAGTATACTTCTGGATACTCCCCCTGAGTTTGACATAACTTCCAAACGAGAACAACAAGCATTGCATATGAATAGTTAGGCATACCAATTCCTCGGACAAACTTCTAGAAGGTTGACTTCAGCAGTGACGTCATGTAGAGGTCGGCAAGGTTGTCTGGGATCGGCTTGCATGACTTCAATCTTCTGATGCTTTGCTGATGTAGATGTGGACACATTATGTCTTGGTGTTGACTTCGTTGATGTATCATGGCTTGGTCGGGTTGATACATGCGGCATAATCTTCATGGATCGTCGTTGGGACTCAACGATGGATGAAAACACAACAAGTACTTCGAATATCAATAAAAACTCCTAACCATGTCTCACTTGTGGCGTAGTGAAGTAAGGTGAGTCTTGGAACAATTCAAAGATTTCGCAACTAAGGTCATATCATGGACCTCCAAGATATTGCGATATCCTTAACGGTAAAGACATAACCATTTTGGGATTTTGCCTTGTGCGGGTTTGATAAGTAACCTGCATCAGCATAACAAATAAAGCAAGCATCATTCTGAGGATCAGGGGGTTGGATCCACTGAGATATGTTGGGATTTGCCCATGTAGTACCTTCATGGTACGTCTTTAATACCAATTTAGTGGATGCGTGTAGGCGTAGTGCTACATCTTTACCAAGATCAACAGCGAATGAGATGTCCTGTCTAAATACAATGAGCTAAGTACAACGAAGCGCAAAGTTGAACTTAGATATGGAATTTCGGATTCCATAACCTCTTCAATGGTCTCATTTGCATATAACGTATGGATGATCATAGGTATACTCAAAGGTAACGCATTCGGGGTGTAGTTCGACTGGTACCAAAATACCATCAGAACAATGCTTCAACTTTGGGTTAAGACATAAACGAGTTTTCCCAAGATTCTCATCTCAAATTCCGTCTTCAAGTGCGAGGCAATTTTCTCAAACTCTTCCGGAGTCTTAGTGAGATTCGTGTCAATGACATAAATTGCAACTCTAGCAATTTGGAATAAGACTTCATAGTTTAACACGCAATGGCATAATTCATCCCTGACTGATCAAATAATCACTTAGATGGGTATACCACATCCGTCGAATTGTAAGTGAACGCCTCAAACAAGTTAAGAGGGTGTTCCATGGTTTTGGAACTATTTGAAACAGGCCATGTAATTCTTCGAGAACTTACATGTAAATCTCCATATTTATATCCCCATGGAGAGACACTAACCACATTTCATAATGCTGCTATCAATCACAAGACGTTTTGAGAGAAACCTTGCGTCGTAAGACGTGCATCATATCGCACTATTTCATTCATCTCATAACGTTTCCTTTCCTACTTGTAACACTATAGGGTTACCTTGGGCAATGTAGGAACGATAGGTCCAATACACACTTTGGCAAGGAATTTAACCTAGATTGCAACTTTAGTTGTCCAATCAGTTTTATGCTGTCACTTAATCAACGAAACACAGTTCAATATCGTCATTTTTCATTTATGTCGGTAGCTACCATATAAGTGAAAACATCATCGATGGTAATCTCATTTCAATTCTATTTTCTCATCCAAACTAGTATACTAGACCAAGAACTTTAAGTCTTGGGAGTAATCCGGATTAATCTCATGAGATGGAAATGATTTGAGACAGCAATCAAGTTTAGATTCATTGTTGTGTCGTGTCTTCCTCTTCCAGGGAAATGAATCCTACGAACTGAGTGATATGTTATACTCCAGGCCAAGAAAAATTGATTGGCTATCCGTCGGTTTACCAGACCGTCCAACAGGGGCGTCCAAACCATCCAACAGGGGCGGCACACCCTCCAAGGATGTTGACTCAACATCCGTTAAGTACGTCTATCCTTGCAGGCATGTTTGCAGCTAGTATATGATCTCGTCACTTTAGCTAGATTAGAGGAATGGGTCTAGAGCAACATTCTAAAATCTAAAAATCATCGTACTTTCTTATCACACTTATGCGGTATAGGGATCGAGATGAGACATAGTGGGCAACGTCCACGTAAATTTGCATCGTTCTTCAGGAACGTTGACGTTCTTAACTCCCCTTAATGGCGGGAAGACTGTCTCATTAAAGTGACAACCCGTAAATGAGCGGTAAAGAGATCGTGTGCAAGGGCTCGAAGAGAGCTAGTGTGAACAAGAATCATGATCGACAAAAGATACACATCCTTCTTTGAGGACCCATAGTGGTACGTTGCGGCAACGCAACTTGGCACATGGAATGCACACCCAAATGCGTAAATACGAAAATCGTCAGGTTCGTACCCAGTAACCAACTGTAACGTCATATAGGTTGGGTGGCAATGGGCCTCAAGGCGGACTAATGATGCGTAAAATAACTAAGCGCACAAATTAAACCCTCTTTTTGACAATTGTAGTATAGATGTAAGTAGGGTATCGTTCTAGGCCGGGGATTAGGAGGGATTGCTAATCTATTCTAAATTAATTTAAAAATATTAAACAAGACTCAAGGACACAAAACTAGGCTAAAAAATCTAATAATTCGAAACACACTTAGAATGACTCAAAATAATGAAAACAATCAAATTAGACACTAGGAACTAAAATGGACGGAAATTGAATTAAAA